TAATTTGTTTTATGAATCCGACTGGTCAGTTGCCATCGTTAGGCTTCCAATTCTTTGCTGGAAAGGTAAGAGAAGTTGACCAAATTATCACTAAAGTCCACCATTCAGCTCTGAAACTTATGACAAGTAAATATTCTATTTTGAATTTTCATTAGGTTAAGGATTTAGCAATCAGCTGAAGCAGGATGACTCACCCATAACATGTTCCAGAAAAATATGAAATGACATGTTGAAGAGCATTTAAATTGAACAAAACAGATTTGTGTGTGTGCCACTATTGATATACAAATGTTGAATGTGTTTTACTGTATCTACTGAATATGATTGATAGGAGAGGCATCAATTTCAAGGTTTGTGAATTTAAGTAAATTGTTGTCAGTGGTATCGCTTCTTAAAAAAATTATATCTTTACAGTGAACAGACAAATTGAGACAGGATATACATAAAGCATCAATTTAGCACAAATATCCACTTACAATTGTGAAATATATATATGTACTTGGGAGTTTTTCAGAAAATTCAAGGAGCATTTTTTAAATTGCTTATGCTTTTTAGAATGCTTAGCATTTCTGTTTTGAAAACAACTTGTCTTCCTTTTCAAAATGTATGTGCGAAGCTGGCTCTGATGTCAGAATGAACCATTTTCACAGGATTGGGTCAGCTCCCACTCAACATTTCTTTTACAGAAAGAAAACCGGTGATGAGACAGTATTTGAGCTTGTTAAATCTCAAACCCCCCAGCCTCTTTTCCAAAGCACCACACAACTCTTAAATATATAATCACGAGGAGGAAAAGCAGAGAATATAGTTTGTCTTTAACTAAATTATTAAATCCTTGTTTTGACCCTTTCCTTTCTACCTTGATCCTTTCTGCCTCTACCTTTCATTTAACTTTGCTCACTTTGGGATGAAAAAGCACAAGTAAGTCTGGTGCATAAAAAGGAAAACAAGCAAGGAAATAGAAAATTTGTCCTTTCATCTTTTCCACTGCTGTTTTCTTTCCTCTCTCATATCTCTCTGCATCGAACTTGAATTGTGTCTATTTAAATCCTTCCTATACCCAGGATATTTTGGGTTTCCAATATTTTTACACTGAATAAAAATAGTTTAAAAATTTCTTAAATGCATGTCACAAATATTTCACAGATAAACTTGCTTTAAAACGTAAGTGAATATCAAGTGAGAAAAACAAAAATTTTCTTCACAAAACTTATAGATGTCTGCCTTCCCTTTAGAAGGTTTCTAAAGCTTACAAAGGAAGCCACTGGAAGCAAGTTCATGTTTAGCAAGAATAGCAAAAAATTAAAAAAAAAAAAAAGAAAGAAAATAAATTGGTTTAATGGGAGCCCACCCTGGATTTAATTTCAAAGTTTCCATTTATGTCATGTCAGATTTTGGGAGGCTGAACCCTCATTGAATGCATTGGGCTGACTGTCTCCCATGCCTGATACACAGGGTTCATGACTGCAGTTCCTGGCACAGTCATAAATATTCATACCTAGACTAATAATTTGCAAGCCAAATTCATTTGGCTTTTTTCACCCCATCAATCTTATAATTAATAAGGGTGGTGCTCTTGTTTCACTTTCCTCCAAAAGAAAAGATAAATGAAATAAAGAGTCATCCTGTAAATTTAAATAGGAGTGCCTCTCACTGATTAAAAGCTGATGCTATCATATAATGGTGGAAAGGGAGGCTTCAGCTATTTCTCTCACTGGTGGCTGGGGCGGGGTGAGGGGTGGTGATGGGTAATGCAAAGGAAGCATTTCCAGATGTGGCAGCATGAGCCTTAATCTGAAGAGCTTGGTTATCTATTAAATAATGCACAGGAGAATTTTGAGATATTAGGTTAGAAATAAGTTACAGGATATATATTTACAAATTGCACTCTTACCTAATATTTTGATAGATAGCCACTGAATGTAGCTGGCCATTGAAAATAGCATGTCAATATCCAGAAAATCGGATTCTGAACAGCCTCCGGTTTAGAAATTTAGAGATACGTTAGAATATTTTTAAAATTTGGTGATCATTGCATCTTCAAAGTGACTGCCTTTGAATTAGCATGATGGCTGTGTTTCTAAATCTAATTGGAAAGACTTGGTTTCCATAAAAACATTAAAGGAGGTATATAGGCATCACAACATAATTTTACAAATAGATCTCAGTATATAGGACACAATGTAAATTGTCTGCTCCTATTGGATGTTCTAAGATCATTTATAACAAACTGGGAAAATCAAAATGAACATAATTTTTAAATAAAATTTTGCTAATTGAGCTAAGCAACTTGATCTTGTCAATTCCTTGACCTTACTCTATTTGCACTTCATTTAAACATTCAAAAAGTCCCAAGGCCCATGGATAAGCTTCAAAGTATGAACAACTGTCTTCACTCTGTTTTGGTGGGCATTATCAACCCTTTTGAGGAGATTCTTTAATCCATTTTACAATTAAGAGACCTGGATAAATAAAGAAGCAGGAAAAGCTTAACTCTGCAGTTAGGTATTTGCCTCTAACTTCTTTGAGGGGAACTTACTTTAGAGATGTAATTATCTGTAATTTTGTATATTGGTTAGTTTTAAGAACTCCTGACACCTGCAAAATTCCTGAGACCCACCTAAATTACATAAAGGCAGTGGAAGGGGATACCAGGCACTCTTTGAGTTTTTTATCTTTAAAGCTTATACTTAATTGTTTTGTTCTTTAAAAACCTATGTTCAGGGCAGTCCCTCTTTAAACATGTCTAAGTTCAGTTGCAGAAAAGATGTATTTTACTTCTTAATTCTATGTGAATGCAATTACACATTTGATTTACTGCAAAAAAAAAAAAAAAAAAAAAAAAAAAAAAGGGGAAAAACTGCTTTTCTCCACTGACATTTAAAAGAGGCGAGTAAATGACAGAGAAGCAAGCCTGACTCTGGGCCTCAAAGTGTTTCCCAGACCTACTCTAGTCAGCTGCTTCCGGGATGAGAATGGACCCAGAGCACAGATGCTCTTGTGAGCAGGGTAAGTGGCACAGGTGGGGATCCTAAGGCCCCTTTATCAGGAGTTCTCAGCTGGTGGGGGAGCTCTGTTGGGTTTCTTGTAGGGGTGTCGAGGGGCCTAGGAGGGAACTGACCTGTCCTCACCCTCTGTTAAACCCTTCTCAACTTTACTTGGCTGCTGGGCGGGCGGGCGGGTGGGGTGGTGGTGGTCATCTTGGAAAACTAACGGTTAGGTAATCAAGTCTCTTTCCTCTCCTACTACTTTCAAAAGCAAAATCAGACCCACTTAGAGCTTTGAGTGCTTCCCGGGTCCTTGCTATTGATCTCCCAGGTCACCAAAACAACACCGCGGCTCCTGTAGGTGTGTCCTCCGAAGGCGTGGGAAGAGAGATCTAGGAGTGGCAAAGAGAGATGGGAGAGAAAGAGACAGAGGAGAGAGACTGGCTTTGACCCTCACCCTTTCTTCTGCATTCCAAATCTGCTTTTGGAGTCGGAGGCAGCCCTCCATCCGGGCGCCACCCGAAAGCTAGGCTGCTAGAGTGGGCTGGGCCTGAGCACTGCCGAGCGAGCTTCTCGGTCTTGAAAGGGCTCCCCAGGCTGAGCACTTCGGGAGCTCGACGCGGCGGCCCCCGGCTCAGACTTTCTCGCTGGCGGTCGTGGGCTCCGGGGCAGTCGCACTGAGGCAGCTCGGAGGCGCCCGCCCTACGCTGCTTCTCCCAGTCCCGAGGGTCGTGCGGGCCTGAGGACTGATCTTTTCCTTACTCCATTCCCGAAAGCAAGGGAAGAGCATGGGGGAAGGGGAAGGTGAGAAACACCCCGTCCCATCACCTCATCCCCACCCTCTGAGAGGTGGCACCACCAGGCCCAGAGCCAGGAGGAGCCTCGCTCCCTGGCCTGCTGCACCCCAACTTCCTGCTTCAGGGAGCCAGCTGTGCTCTTCCTCAGCCGGGGGGGGATCTGAGGGGTTTTTTTTTGCAAATAAATTGTTACTTGTTTTAATGTTCTTCCCTTTTTTGTATGTCTTGCTGCTGCGGGGGCCGGCCCGGGGCGGGGGGTGCGGTTAGGAAGGACGGGGATTAGGACTGGGTCAGAGAAGAGAAGACAGCAATTACAGAGCTTTGTTGATGTCTGTGCACACGTGCCTAGGCCACCGCAGGCGTGTGCGCTTGTGGGTAATGGGGTGGGGGAGAAAGAGAGAGGGTCTAGAAAGCTAAGGAACCGTAGACCAGGTCAGTTTGGTGAGTTTGTGGAGCTCAGACGCTCTGCAGACCCAGCGACGTTCACCTCACCTAGGGGTCTGGAATAGCCATACCTACAGCTTGGGGTTCATTTAACCCCTTTTGTGCCTCAGTCCCAAGACCTTTCTTTGTTCGCCAGCACAGGGGAGAGAGGCTGTCCGGAAGAGTGGGGCTGGAGTGGCTGAGCACAGAGGTTCACACTAGAGAGTGTGAACTCTCTAGTGTGGCCCAGCACCCAGTCCTCACTCACCACGCCAGTGCTCACTCCTCTGGCCCGGCAGCTTGCCCTGTCTCCAACTCTTTCGTCCAGGTGAGAATGAAGGGCTTCCTCTGTAAGAAGGGAGATTACGAATTATGTTGTTTTTATTTTTTAGAATCACGCTTGAGATTGTGTTCACCTGGCAAAGTGGAGAGTTTGAAGCCGAGAAGAGTTTGAACAAATGAAGCCGAGAAGACTTTGGACAATACCAAATAAATATTGTGAATGATAACTTGTGTTAAAGCTAAAACTTTTGCACAGTGACCGGGACTGGCTCATTACTGGAACAGAACTAACCCTCCCAGTACATTGTCAGTGTGTGTACACCGAGTTCTCAGTATCTTCAACATCCCAATTCTCTTGGATTTCAAAAAGTGATTGGGCTGGCACAGTCCAAGAGCCTACTTCTGTGTATTTTTCCTAGAAATCCTTTGACTAAATGGATCAGCATGAAATAGACAAAGACAAGCAAAATAGAGGAAGGGGAGAGGAAATTAATTCTGGGAGAGGTGAGGAGAAAGGGGAACAGGGAGAAAGAGGAAGAGGAGGGGCGGGAGGGAGGGAGAGATTTTTCACACGTGCAGACCAAGGGCTTTGAAGCCTTCGACCCTGACCCCCAAACCCAAGTGCATCTCACAAAACAGGTTCGGCTCATATTTCAGGCGGTCTCCTGGCCCGGCGTCCGCTGTCCCCGGGGCCTTAATTCACTCCTGCCCTCTCCGCGCAATGACTTTCGAACCTGGGAAAATAATTGCATTAGAGCAGATTACTTATCCGTCTTTTTCTGTTCGACAGAAGTCTATTAAACTCAACACAGCCATTACCAGCTGAGCTCTAGAGCGCGCCTTCATTAAGAAAATTAAAATCATACTTTTGAACCTAAGCAACGCCTGCGCAGGTCTCAGGCGCCCGTGTCAAATCCCTGTATTTTCGCGAACCTGATTTTTCCGCGAATCAATGTCTGCTTTTTGGATACCGTAGATCAGGGTGTAAAGATTGAGTGTGATGACAGCTTCTCGGAAGATAGGGACGCCAGAGCTCTGAAAGTACCATCTCTCTTCTCTGTCCCTCTTCCTCCTCCCGCCGCCTCCTTTCCTGGGGTGGCTCTTTTCCCAGGAGCTTTCCAGTCAGACGCTGCACACCTGTCCGGGCGTGACCCGGGATTTGGGTAGCAGGTGGGGGCGGCTGAGGCGACAGGGAGGGGATAGTGGGTTCGGGGCCCGGAAAGCCCGCGGGTGAACTTCCCCAGGTGACGTCTGCGGCCGGAGCCCCCCACCGAGTGCACGTGTTTCACACACGCGCGCGCGCACACGCACCAGAGCGCGGCCGGGAGACTGTCCCCGTCCATCGCGTTTCACAGCCGCTCCGGGGCCAGTGTGGCCTGTGAGCCTTTTGTCCATCCAGGCGCGGGAGCCTGGCTGGGGAACAGGGCAGGCCGTTACGTACGCCTCGGATAGGGAGCTTACGTCCCTTTGGCGGGGTCTTTGGCCTCTGGGGGCCTATCTGAGTTTGCTCCTTGGGTTTGGTAAGAGTGGCACTAGCACCGGGTACCCCTCGGGGACTGTGGGCGGAATCGCTCCGGCTCCTACCCTCTCCGGTGCCCCAACTTGGGGCGGAGGGAACAGGTGGGAACTGCGGGCTGGAAGGAGGGCGACGTCCGCTACCTCCCCTCCCGAAGCCTCTGGGTAACATCTCCCTTTGCTCTAGCGGAGTTAGGATCTCCAATTCCACTTTCAACTGAAAACCTCATCTGGCGGGACAACTGCCTGTCTGGTCAGTTAGGAGCGGGTGCGTTTACATTGATGTTTTTGTGGCATCTGGAAATTTGCGGTGTTTCAAGAATAATTTTTAGCATATTTTTCCTGTTTGTTAGCCACTGCCCTCCGTTTCTACATTTGGCTTTAAAAAAATGTTAATGACTGTGTGTATCTCTGAAAGGTTCACCCAACTCAGGACTCTAAAGGAAAACATAACGCCTTTTGCACATTTTGGGGGCATCCTTCCCTAGGGTTCTAGGAGCAGAGAGGTGCTGCTTCCTTTTTTTTTTTTTTTTTTTGGTCAGAATTCTCAATCATAGAGTTCTCACCCCCTCTTTCTCTGTAGAATGCGGCTTTGGGATTTATTAGGGGAAAATAGTATAGCACCCCCTCCTCCTCCCTATCAGCACTCAAATACAGGATTGGATGGAGTTGCTTGAAAGTGTATATATTGTTGTTCCTTGGCAAGTGTCTAATTCTCTTTCTCTCAATTTCTTTCTGGTACAAAAGCCTACAAAACTCAAGTGACGAAAGTCAACCAAGAGATGTGGACAAGGGAACATCTTTTACATCTCCGCAGCTTTCAACTCGCTAATTGGTGAATATTAAAAATATTTTTCCCGGAAAGGAGGAAAACAAACAAACACACCTACACTGCTGTTGTTAGTGTTTTCTTCTCATCAAATGCAGACACATCATTGGATTTCTTTTTTCTTTGTAGCAAAAGATGAGGAAATCAGAAGCGAAATGCAGCCTTTCAACAGTAACAATTCCAAGAGTTTGTGCAACACTTTTTCTTGCTTCTGTTCTCACTTCTTTGCCCTTAAAGTGAAACAAAAACAAAGATACAAAAGGAGGAAACATCATTCTTAGTGAAGAGTTTATTCTGTTGCCACAATAAAGTGATGGGGGCAGTTAACAGCTACTTGAGATGGTAATGCTTAGTGATCCCATTCTTTTAATCATAATCTTCAAGTGGTTTAAGATTAATGGCAAGGGGTGTTTTCCGTCTTTACCTAAGGACCTTCGAATTAATTTACTCAGAACATTGACCAGACTGCCAATGTCTCCAAATTTCATTAAGTCAAACCGAGACAATACAATGAGATGATCACATTTCTTTTATATGTGAGTGTCTTACTAAAAATGTTTTTATTTGGATTCAACTGCTATGAGGGCCACCTCCTTCCTTGTCTTTATTACCTTATTGTCTTTGTATAGATATGTAGATAGCTAGATATAGATGTTTTGTATTTATACCCACATACATATATTTGAATAGACCCATATGGTCTGCAGATAACTTCCCTTCCACTTGTGAGCTTAACAGGGACCTTTTAAAAAGTCAACCCCAGTGGCAGCCAGCAGGTTCTGCTCCCTCAGAGCAGGATTTATATTTAGAGTCAGTTTGAACCCAACGGACTTCCTCAAAACAGACCCCCCAAAATGATTACAGCTTGGAGTATAAATATTTAACTTTACCTCAGTTGCCACAATGGCCCCAGCAATTCTTCAGACACTATCAGACTGAGGCATCACTTCACTGACCTGAAGACCCGGGCTGTCTCCCACCTCTGCCTTGCCCTAGAAGCGCTGGATCTATGGAGTCGCCAGGTCCCTGTCGCCTCCCGGAGCGTCGCCAAAGATGGTGGTGGGGGTTGGAGAAGGGGTGACACACAGGGATTCTGGGAGAAGCGAAAAAGGAAAATGGATTTTTAAACCAGAGGGTCCTGCCACTCTGGCAAGAAATCAAAGTCCAGAGACACACCTTTCCCTTGCTGTCCTCCCTACCCGTGTTACTTCCCCCGCGTCTCATTTCTGAGTACTGTTTGAACAAAATCCCGAAATCCGGGACTTTGAAAAGCAAAACCAAAAACTCCCCCAGAAACTAAAGTCGTTTGGCAATGCAGATTGACACTCTTCATGTGGGGGTCTAGTTGCGGTCAGAAGACTTTTCCAAGTCAGGGCTGCGTTGCCAGCTCCCTTCCCAAGAGTGGAGGCTGGCGGTGCAGGCAGCGCGGCTGCCAGCCCGAGATTGCTCCGGCTCTCGTTACCTGTGCGCCCTCGCGTTACATGGTGCTCATAAATCCCGCGGCAGATTAACTGGGAAACCAAGAAAATGCCTGTATGCACCGAACCGTTGAAAAAGAACCAAAATTATCTCAGATAGTAGTAGTCTCACACCTTGCATTGGAGGAGAAACACTATAGGAAGATCAAATGTCAAAGACATCGGCGGTTTATCTTGGTGCACGTCAGCTACCCTTTCCGTCTCCAGCAAAATTAAGAAATACGACCCTAAAAAGAATAGACACGAGTGGAAAAGACGTGTGTGTGTGTGTGTGTGTGTGTGTGTGTGTGTGTGTGGTCAGCTGCGGTGACAACTTTTCAACACGTTTTCTGCTTAAAAAAATAAAAAGATTGGGAGAGGTTCTGGTATTGCTTTGCGTTGCAGCAAAGGGTCATCATTCTGGACAAGGAACCCTCTGAATTCCGCAAGCTATTCCTCAATACTTTTCTCAAACAGTGCGAGTTTCCTGTGAGTTTAATTTTGTGAGGACGCAAAATATTGCTTTGCTTTGTATTTGGCCTCTTTCCCCATTAGATATCCATTTTTTTAAACGTCTACAGAATCTATGAAAAACATTTCCTTGGACTCAGAATCTGCAGGTCGGCAGGAAAAACAAACTATAGCGAAAACCCAGAGAATAAAGAGATGTAGGAAAAGGAAATGTGTCCCTTTACTAAGGCTTTTGATGGTTTATTCCCCAGAGGCCATGTGAAGGTTGGGGGGGGGTTCTTTCGCATTTTATTATTTTTACCACTAATTCGTTTAAATGTTCAGTCCTTGACAAGCTATTCCTCTGCCGCGGGGTTTTGCTGGAGAATGGACGTGGGGGCAGTGGAAGGAGTCAGTGAAAGGTGGGGTGCGCAGAAAAACATGATTCGCTTTACAGGGGGCTGACCCGCAGCGTTCTGCTGTACTGGCCAGCAGGGGGCGCTCTGATGTTAGCTCTGGACTAGACAGCAGAGCCACTCTGAGCTTGCAAGACAGGCTTAGCAGTTTCACGCAGCTGCAAAAGGAAAGGGAGGGGGGATTGTAGCTCCTAAATCCTCAACAGCTATTCCACTTGGGTTATTTACCCTGGGTTCGAAATGCATCTACGTCTCACCTTACCTACCCATCCCGCTTAATAGTGCATCCCTTTCTCCGTTCACCTCTTTCTTTTCATCTGCATCTACGCAGCACATGTATAATCTCTCTCTAGCCTTGAAATATACATTAATGCAACTTCTTAAATGCGACGATGAATAGTCAACATTTTTTTCGCCTGTTAGTTCCGCTGATCCAAGCAGGATTTATTTGCAGATCTCAGGTCCAGGAGCCATAATGCATGATTTTTTCCCCCTTAAATAAAATTGGTCAAATGTTGACAACCTTTAGGCCAATCTAACACTCAAGATTAGTGATGGGAAACTAATGAGAAAATATCAGATCGCCCAGCCTGAGGGCTGCCAATTAAATCTTCACTGATTGAAAAATAAAAGCGGACTTGGGGTGTGAGCCCAGCTCAACTTCAACTATTAATTTAACATGTTGCTGGGTCCGTGCCTTCTCTTCTCTAAACGGCTTCCCGTAATAGAGCTTTCTCCTCTTCAGCCCTCAACCTAAAAGCCAAATGTTATTTCTTAGAATATTTCAAGAGGTCCAAAACAGGATGATCGTCTCTTACGTGGTAAATATTAGGCCTTTAAGCAATATGATTTAACTAATTAGAAAATTTACATCATTAAGTCTCAGGGAGAGAAAAAAAAGAGAAACAAATCTGCCAGTCATTTTAAAGGAGACAGGCACTATTGAAGTGTGAAGAAATCGGCTCTAATTCAAAAAGGCAATCGGGCAGAAAAAGCCCTCAACATTACCCTGCTAGTTATTAATCAGAAAGGGCTCTCTCCTCCCCACACCTCCTCCCCTCTAAGCATTGAGTTTAAGTTCGTTTTTTTGCCAGTGGCCCATGTCATATTTATATTGAGGTTTTGTCTGCTAAAGGATTAAAATTTGAAAATGTTTCAATAAAAGGAAAACAGAATCCTCAAAGGGAAAAATATTCACAGAATCACCTCTCTTTCAGACAAGTAAACTTGTAATAAACACTTCTCACGCCCCTCTTATTTTCTTTTTCTAATTCCTTCGTCTTTCTCCCCATTAAGTTCCTATTTTGAAACCTGCTTGGTGAGAACTAAAGTCTTTGTGTTCTGCTCCCCTCCCCCTCCTTTCTTGCTTCTCCTCCCTCCTCCAAAGCGAGAAACTTAGACTGAAAGCAGAAAAGTACAAATACATTAACAAAGCCCCACTCACTTGATAAAAAGGCCATGGTCTAGGCTTACATGTCAGGAATCTAAGGGAAGGGGGCTCTGTCGGTGGGTCTACAGACAGAAGATGATGCACTAGAAATTTTCCCCACCTATGTATACTATTCACTATAGTGTGTGGTTAGAGAAAAAGGCAGGCAGGTGGGTGAGAATTATTTTAAAGTGTATTGCGGTGTTGTGTGGCTATTTCTTTCTTCTCCTCTTTTCTTTTCAGCTTAAAACAGCAGCCTCATTATATCTAGGTGCCCCTTCCCATCATACTCTTACTTAAGCCCTTGTGCACCACACACATCGCCTGTGCCCTAGTCTTCTCATTCCCAGCAAATTAACAGAAGAGGGAACTGCAAAAGAAACTTTGTGCATCCCATTTGGAAACTCAGGCCCTTCCTGGCATCTCTGAGGATTTATTCTTAAACGGATATTGGCTTCAAAAAAATGTAATAGCAAGCCTTAGATATTCAATTTTCCTTCATTATTATTTCTTTTTAAATTATAAAGAGGTCCCCAAGGCTCATTTTTCTGCCTTGTCCTATTCTTCTCTCATTATGTTCCCTCCTGGCCTCATTTTCTTCTTCTCCTCGATGCCTGACTTTCTGAAAGTTTCACTACCTCATTTCCTATCAAGTCACTGGGCCTTAGAATTCTCCAGTCTTTGGGTTTCTGCTGGCCTTGAGCAGCTCCCCAGCATTAGTTCAATGCCATATATTCCCGGTTACCAGATTTCATCTTTGCAGGAGAGAGCAGTAGCAGACCTGGGCTATTAACACACCACAGTTAATTCTCTGCGGGAACTTTTACTAGGTGGGACTTGTGGAAGGAGAAAACATCTGTAAACTGTGCATGCTCCTGAGGGTGCGGAATAATTTCTGATATAGAGGCCAGAACACATTAAATATGACCAAATTTGTGAACGAGCCAGTTCCAAGTTACCATTTGGTTAAATAAGGAAAGGGAAGAGAAAAGGGGGACACTGGGAGGAGTTTAGAATGCTCCCTAAATGCAGCTCCTTTTCTGATCATTAAAGAGCAGATGTGAGTCGAACGTGCTCCCCTAGGAGAAAGATGAGAGTAAAATGGACACCTCGTCATTTTCAGGAGGCCGGACACAGAGAGGTGAAAATAGACAAGACAATGGCCTCTGGCGCTGATGGGCTTCCTTGGCGGGCTCTTTTGCCCCGTCCCTCTCAGAACCCTTCTTACCTTTGTTGCTTCACTTTGATACTAAACCATGGGATGTTCCTGGGCTAGTTTTCTCGAGAGGAAAAAGACCACTAGAATCAACCCGTCTCCTGCATCTACTCCGAAGTCAAGAAGCACTACAATAAAATTTACAGCGCCTTTAACAACTCGCAAGTAAAGCATTAAAATTCGCTTTAATTGAGAAAATATTGATTTTTAAGTCTAGAAAAAGAGAAATCGTAATTTAGCTTCAAACTTTCAGGTGAGAATATAGCGTATTATGTCGCCGTATAATGGATTCACCCTTTATGCCCATGCAACACCACCTCTTTAATTGCGCTACTTTATGAAGTGATAAAGACAAAAGATAACCCGACTTAGCCAAACGCTTTTTAAAACGAAGACCTAGAGTCATTTCTTTTACCAGATATTTGTAAAAAGAATTACCTCCTTTCTTGAAGCAGAAAAAAAAAAATACCCCAAAGGGAAGAAAGAAATAAAAAAGAAAGGAAAATCACAGACTAGTCTAAAAGCAACTCACATTAGCAAATCCGTTGATATTCTCTACCAAAGGAGGGATGAAGCCAACATTTAGAGAGAATGCATTCACGGGCAGAATTGCATCCTCCTTTAAACGAAACAAACCTGGGTCTATTTTCTCACTTTACTCCTCCGTCCTTTTTTTGGGGTGGGGGTTAGGGGGAAAGGCAGCGGGTCCAGAATCCATTGGTGGACAGGGAAGGGAAAGAAAATCAGGCTTTCTATGTTATTTCTGTATCGGTTTTTGGTATTATAGAGGAGTAAAGAAGTTTTTGTGTGGTGGTTTTTCATTGATCAGTCACTCTGAGCTAATGTAATTATCCTCATCAATAGGAGGCTGCAGAGAGAATCATTATGTGGGTGACATTGATAAATGATCGCCCAGGAACGGCCCTCTCGCGGGCAACCCCCACGTCTGACCCTCCCACACACACAATGTAGTCATAGAAACACCTAGAGAACCTCGAGCCCCGCCGCGGAAGAGGCAGGAGAGGGAAGAAAAGCCTCGGGCGGCCGAGGTGGGGGTGGGGGCGAAAGGGGACAGCCAGCTCCAGATCCAAACCAGTTCCAACGACAAAAACAGCCAGCGGCGGGGGGCGAGGGGAGAGGGACGATCTCCCCACCCGGCGGCCAACCCTCCCGCGCACAGTTGCTCACAACAAAGTGAAAATCCGCCCTCCAGACGGACCCATTCCTCCACACCTTTTCCCATGTGTGACCTCACTACCAACAACATCTGATGTTTGCCGAGACGCACATTCAAAGGGGTCTCTCCAAAGGAGTTAAATAATTAGGTCACAAAACTCGTAGGCATCTAATTCTCACACTAGTTTACCCCGCTCCCCAAACCCCAACAAACAACAAACCAACCAAACCCATCTGCAAGAAAACAAAGGCAGCCTCTGAGTGACACCCCTTTTTGCGTTCCCCTCGGTTATTTACTGACTGACCCGGTCCTTTCTCTTCACCTCCTCACCCAGTGTCTCTGATTATGAGATAATGGATTTTGCGATTGTTCTTGTCAGGGAAAAAAATCTCCACGGAACCCCACGTTTTCATCTTTCGACTGTTTTTATTTAAGCCAATGGGAAGGTATTGAGAGCAGTAATTGATTCATAATGATCCATAAATCGATGTTGGAAAGCGGGGGGTGAGGGTGGAGGTGTTCTAAGAGTAAGGGGGTTGATGATGCTGTTTATTTATTTTATTTCTAAAGCTTCAGCTAAAGTAGCTTTGACACTGTTGGGGCTGGGGGGGAGGAGTTGTTGGGCTCTGCTGGATCATCCATCATCCCTGTCACCCAGAGTCTGCCCGGAGGAGCCGTAGACGCAATCTCCCTTCTGTCTCTACACCGAAACTATTAATATTAAAACCTCCCTTCAAACACTGCCCCGACGGTCTCCATTCTCATCACAATCTGACCGGCCTCCCCCATCAGACCACCATTTCCCCCACGCGCGGCACCTTCTCCCAGCCTGGGCCCCGAAGGAGGCGGCCCGCCTGGGTGCGCGACGCCCTGAGTGGATGACTTCAACTGTTAACTGGTATGGGCCCCCTGCTGCCCCCATAGTTTGCAACACGTTGTTCTAACTCTAGCACACACGCCCAGGGAAGGCCAGGTGAGGGCCGGGGTAGCCCTCTGCACCCCTCTCTGCCGCGGCCCAAGCCTCTGTCCTGCCTCCTCCCATGCTCCAGGACGCACGTCCACACCAACCCCGCTGGGTAGGCGGCAGGGGCTGCAGCCTCGACGCTGGGGCCACTCTGCGCATCCAGACACCCCGACACCGGACTCTGAGTAGCAACTTGTAGTCGGAGTCCAGGCTCCTTATCAAATTGCTGGCCTGCTAGACTAATGGGGAACTTGTGGAGGATCCCTGTCCAGTCCCTTTGAAGGAAGGTCCCTCCTTTGACAGCTGCTAGAGATATTAGCCACATTTCCCTTCCCAAATCTGCTCCGGGTTAACAGGCCCGCGGGGGTGGGAGGGGGTGAGGAGGCAGGAGAGTCTTGGTGGACTCCAGCGAGGGTGAGAGGTGGGAGGCGTGAGGGGGTGCTGACCTGTGGGGTGGGAGAGAGGAGGGGTGGACGGAAGACACAGACTTTCCTGGTCTTTTCTTTTTCGTTTAAAATGTGGCTTCTTGCTCAATTCCCAACCCTTAACAGATGGCGACTGCAGTTCTCTCAGAATTTCTTAAAGAAAGGGAAACCTTTGGAATTTATTTCTGCTTTTGCTTTTTCATATAAATAAAAAAGTGTTTTTATATTACTCTTGTTTTGGAGAACATAAGCAATTTTATTCAGACTACAGTATTTCCTTTAACACTATATGGTTGTCAAAACACCATTCCCAGTTTCTTTGCTTTTGACAGCTGAGTCTTTCTTAAATATACCCAAATCGGAACTCTTTACACTAAATAGTAAACCCGAGATAGGAGCAAGTGCCTTCCGGGGTGGTGTAAAAAAAGCATTATAAAAATTGGACAAATCTATCACTTCTCTTTCTTAGCATGGGGTTGGGGGTGGGGGGAGAGCAAGGTAATGCAAACCAATATTACAATTATCATTCATCTTCAAATGTTTAAGAGGGTTAAAGTTAACAGGATAGGATGTGGGTCTGGTGAAGCAAGTAAGCATGAGATGACTTTATTCATTAAAACCAAGGATTGAAAGCTCTGGGCTCTAAACTTCAAAGAGATAATAATTTCATAAAAGACATCCTAAATATGAGCCAATTACCAAGTAAACCCTTCAGCATTTACTGAAAGAAAAAAAAGTTTTTTTCCCCCAGCTGATGTGAGAGTTGATTTATAATGGCGAATTTTCAGTTTACATAAAAGCATTTAAAGTAAAAATCAGCAAATATTTAAAATTTACCAAAAGACTTCATGTGAAACAGAATAGCAAAAATGAGAGGGATGCTAGCTCTCTTTTCCAAGTGGCACAGAATTTCTCTATTTTGTTTGTGTCAGAAGCATTATTTCTATGTTTAAACAGCAACACATCACTTAAACTGATAAAAATTCTTCCTAACTAAAATACAAAACAATAGAAGTTTATTTCCTTGTTCATTTATACAGAACTTCCAGAAATGCTGTCTGAAGTGGAAAGATGGAAGAGCCCCAAATAAGATATAACTACGGATTTCTTCCAAGTTTAAGTTTGCAGAGACAGTGAATTGTTTCCCTGTCCAGTTGACATCACATATCCAGCTAACGTTCATTCTTTCTAAACAAAGATTCCAAATGTAAGAGTTACAAAATTCCAGGACAGTATATTTATTTGAAAATTGAGGGGACATGCAAATACCTGACCCTTTTTGCACACTTTAGCAGACATTGTGCAGCATCAATAAGCTAATGATACAAACTTCCAGGAATGTTGCATAAAATTTTGAAAACGGCATTATACCATCCATTTGTTTTGTTTTCAGAGAAATATGTAAGTTTAGTTACCAAATCATCACACTAGCATCCCTGCATATGGAGGTGTCTGAAATAAAAATATACCACAGTATAATTTATAAAACATTAATGATTAAGTAATCTTTAAAAGTCAGAATTTCAAACTCCATAGAAGTTGTTTACTTATCTATGAACACCCATATGTAAATTTTCATTTACATATCCAACAATACTGTAGTAAGACCGACAGAAGAAAAACAGAGGCAGATAAATTACCTTTGAGCACAGACATTATTTCTTACTTTGTAAACTTAACCCTGAAAAGTCCTTTATTCTGGCAGAGGATGACCATGAAAAGCTTTATCTGAAAGTATATATTTTTTTAACGTCATGCATCTAAATAGGAGGTTGGCATGTTCAAGGGGATCTTTCAACCTGGCTCATCACGTACACATAGTTTCGTACCTTCAGAAGCTTTCTGCTGGTGGAACGTATAGGCCCAACAGACATTGAGAGGCTACAGATGATTACCTTAAAGATTACTGATAAGTTTAAAATACACTCAACTGCTGGGGGGAAAAGCTGTCACCTGCCTTTAACACTGCATAGAGTCGGCATTGTGCAACCTTGTCCTAAAACCATTAAAAACGCAAAAGCCTAACAAAAAATCAAAAATGAAATATTTATTACCGCATTTGTGACTTAACACCTTTTTTTTTTTAACATAACGTCACAGTCCTCATACAAGTATTTTAATGTAAATTTGACAAAGCTTAAAGGTAACAGCATTTTCTTCTAGTGAGGAACACGTGCTGAGAAAAGAAGAATTCATGGACATACAATACCAATTCCACAGCAGATCTGATACTAGCAAAAACATTCTTTTTTTTTCAATTGAGGTAAACACATAGAATATCTAACATGAAACAATTAATAGACCGAACTCTGTACGAAGTTTGTTACAGTATTCTCTTGCTCCTTTTTATCCCCCAAGCTTTGAGTTTCTGATAAAGTCCTAGTTATGGTTCAATGACCATTAATAACTTTTTTGTGTTGAGGAAAGCTGCCCAACTTAAGATTGTTTTGTCCACAACCAAGGCTCAGAACTCCTGGAAAAGAAGCTCCTGCTCTGTCTTTAAATCTTCATTGGTAAGCTCTTTGAAGAAGAGTCCCCCAAAAATAAGAAGAATTGGCTTATGAAGCACGAACTATAAAGATCTGTTTGAAACTAAAGGACACATTTATGGAGGAACAAAGGCCGGGCATGAAAACACATTCTTGAAGCTGGAGTTCGAGTGATGAGGT